CTATGTATCACTGTATTTGTATGTTTATTGTTGTTTTGCTTGTCCTTTTATTTCTAGTTATTGTATTCCTTTTGTTAATTGCGAGAAATATGTTACTACTTGTCCTGCTGCAGGGCAGACATTGCATATTGAAGACGGTAGCACGGTATAGCATGGTAAAATCTTTTCCTCTGCTTCCTCCAGGATGTGTTCTCCAGTGCGAGTGTCATGGCTGCAGTGTTGGGTTTGCTCCTGCCCCTAGCGTATGAGTTTAATCCAGGCCTGGTGCTGCAGGTCATGGCAGAGGGCAGTGGTGGGTTGGAGGTGCGTGTCTGGGCACAGCTCACCAGCCTGCTGCAGGGGGTAGCACAGGGCACAACTCTAGCGCTGCTCAAGGTATGTTGCAGTAAGGCATACACTCATTTCCCTTTTGGAAAGGGACCCGTACACACATCTCGCCTTGCTTTCACATCTTGCCACTTAAGTTAAAAGTGGGCAGTTTATTTAAGATGGATATGTTATTTAGTTTACTTACTATAAAGCATGTTTGTAGATTATAATGAATAATATTAATAAAATTAATCCATTTTTTTTGCATATCTCAAAACTAGAGACAGTGTCAATCTGATACCCAGGATCTGTATAGGGCTGATACTAGCAAAAATAGTGGATCAGATATCGGAGGAAAAAGGCACAAATTCAGTCTGATCTTGTAACAGATGGAAAAGACTGGAATTGGATTTGGAAAAGTTTTTTTTTTTTACTAGAAATTTTTACATATAAGGAGACATGAATGTACTTTTTGTTAGGATTGATTTTATTATAGTATATACTATAATCATATTTTTACTTATGTATTTTTTTAAGTAAAGTTAAATATCGACATCAGCTGATACTCAATGATTCAGTATCGTTATAGTATATATATTTTTGTTATTTTTTAAAGTTTCTTATGTAATACTTCTTGAAATCAGGGCTGTGACAGAGACCTGGTGAGGGCTACAGGAGCCTCTCTCTCTGGGGCTCCCGCTCCATCGCTCGGGCCTCTGGATCCTCCTCTGGCTGAGGATGTGGAGGCTATAGAGGCACAGAGGCAGAGACTGCAGAAGCGTTGGGGTCTACTGCTGAACACCGGTGAGTTAATTTTACTTAGGCCATAGCACTGTTGAATTCTTGTATCTTTTTGGTCAGGAAGTGTTTAATTATCTCTGACAGTAGTCCCAGCTGTAAATTCAAATCACAAATTTATATTAATGTGCTCATTCTAATATGTTATTGTGTCTATACAACTCATTTACATTTATGGCATTTTGGCAGACGCCCTTATTCAGAGCGACTTACAATTATTTCATTTATACAAGTGAGCAGTTGAGGGTTAAGAGCCTTGCTCAAGGGCCCAGTAGTGGCAGCTTGGTGGTGCTGGGATTCGAACTCTCAACCTTCTGAGCAGAAGTCCAACATCTTAACCACTGAGCTACCACTTCCCTCATTCACTCATTCACTCATTCACGGGGACTTGTATGGCAGACAATGGGTGACTTGTTAAATAAAGCTAAATGTGTATAATGGTGCATCATTAATGTGATTGTGTATGTGCTCAGTTTCAGAAAGTGGAACAGAGCGTCAGGACTGATGAAGACTCGTCCTGCTGCCATTTGTAAACTTCATCATTATCATTTCTATAAGTAAAGAGTCAAGGGTACCCAATTAATGATGTGACAGTGGTTTTTTTTTTTTTTTTTTTTTTTTTGCTGGGTGGTATGTGTGTGTAATGGA